TTTTAGATTACATTTCATCATGTTCAAAGTAATTAAGTATCAAGTTGTTTTCATATGGATTTCCAAGTGGAAATTCAAAGCGCAAAATGAATGAAAACTATAGCTCTTTAAAAGCTAACATATCAGCTGAGAAAAATGTACAGCCTTTAAGATTATCAAAAAATACACTTACAAGGCTGCTATATTAACTAGTAATTAACTATAACGCACACACACCCAAAATCAGAAGATAAAGACGTCATGGTGGAATGTGCTGTTCCTTATGCTGCATTTGCTGAACCCTAAGAGTATATTAGTAACAGTTACATTCTAGGCATCTTTTTTTTTAATGTTTATTTATTTTTATTTGAAAAGTGGATTTTACAGGGAGGGAAAGATAAAGAGAGGTCTTCCATTTACTGGCTTATACCCCAAATAGTCATAATGACCAGGGTGGAGCTAATCCAAAGTTGGGATCAAGGAGCTTCTTCCTGGTCTCCTGTGTGGGCACAGCATCCTCCACTGCTTTCCTAGCTTGTAAGCAGGGAGATGGATCAGGAATAGGGTAGGTGAGACACAAACTGGCATCCAATGGGATGCCTGTGCTAGCAGGTGGAGGATTAGGTTCTTAAGCCACTGAACTGGCTCACTAAAACATGGTTATTTGAAAGGCAGATCTCACAGAGACAAGGAAAGAGATGGTTACTTTTCTTTTTTTTAAGCTTTTTAAAACCTGCTTAAGGAAAGATGCATGGCTTTCCCAAATCTAGCCTAAATTTCTAGTTGGCATTAATATACACTCCTTACTGTAGTTCTTTTGAGAAATATCCTTGATTAACTGTATGACACTATATGCTGACACTCTGAGCGGCTGGCACTGTTGCATAGTGGGTTAAGCTGCCACAAGTGATGGCAGCATTACATATATATACTGGTTTGTGTTTTAATTGCTCTACCTAGGCCCCCACTAATGCTTCTGGAAAAGCAGAGGAAGATGGCCCAAGTACTTGGACCCTTGCCATTTATGTGAGACTTAGATGGAATTCAAGGCTCCTCCTGGCTTTCATCTGGCCCATTCTTGGTTGTTACATCCACTTGGAGAATGAAGTAGCAGGAGGAAGATCTCTTTATGTCTCTTCCTCTCTAACTCTGTTTCAAATAAATTGATAGATCTTTTTCAAAAAAATGTATATTTTAGGGTCCGGCATGATAGCCTAATGGCTGAGGTCTTCGCCTTAAATGTGCCAGGATCCTATATGGGCACCGGCTCTAATCCTGGTGGCCCTGCTTTCCATCCAGCTCCCGGCCTGTGGCCTGGAAAAGCAGTCGAGGATGGGCCAAAGCCTTAAAACCCCGCAACCACGTGGGGGACCCGGAAAAGCTCCTGGCTTCAGATCAGCTCAGCTCCAGCTGAGTGAAATTACTGGACGGGAGATCTTTCTGTCTCTCCTCCTTTCTATATCTGATTTTCCAATAGAAAATAAATAAATATTTTAAAAAGTAGATTTTACCACATAAAAATGTTCATACAACACAGAATTTCTAAAATCACATTAACCTAATGTATTTCAATCAGAATTAAATTGCTTTAAGACATCTTCTAGATTAAAATGCCTTTTAAAAGTTGAATATGAAATAAAAAAGTAAAACTTAAAAAAAAAAAGTTGAATATGGGTGCTGGTTTGTGTCCTGGCTGCTTCACCTCCTATCTAGCCTCCTGCTTGTGGCCTGGCAGAGCAGTTGAGGATAACCCAAAACCTTGGGACCCTGCACATGAGTGGGAGATTAGCAAGAGGCTCCTGGCTTCTGGCTTCAGATCAGCTCAGCTCTGGCTGTTGAGTCTACTTGGGGAGTGAATCACCAGATGAAGATCTTGTTCTCTGCCTCTCCTCTCTATAAATCTGACTTTCCAGCAAAAATAAATCAATCTTTAAAAATAAAAGTTGACGCCCAGTGCGGTAGCCTAGTGGCTAAAGTCTTCTCCTTGAACGTCCTGGGATCCCATATGGGCGCCGGTTCGTATCCCAGCAACCCTGCTTCCCATCCTGCTTCCTGTTTGTGACCTGGGAAAACAGTCGAGGATGGCCCAAAGTCTTGGGACTTTGCACCCCAATGGGAGACCTGGAAGAGCTCCTGGCTCCTGGTTTTGGATTGGCTCAGCTCTGGCTGTTGCAGCCACTTGGGTAGTGAATCATCACATGGAAAATATTTCTCTCCGTCTTTCTTCCTCTCTCTGCATATGACTTTGCAATAAAAATAAATAAATCTTTTTAAAAATGTTGAATGTATGGGGCTGCTGCTATGGCTTAGCTGGTAAAGCCATGACCTGAAGCTCCAGAATCCCATATGTGCATTGGTTAAAATCCCAGCTGTTCCACTTCTGATCCAGCTTCAATAATGTGCCTGAGAAAGCAGCAGAAAATGGCCCAAGTATTTGGGTCTCTGCACCCATGTGGGAGACCTGGAAGAAGCTATAGGTCCCAGCTTATAGCCATCTGGGAAGCGAATTATTGAATGGAAGACCTCTCACATCTCTTTGATGATATAGCACACATCTCCTCCTAAACGGGTAGATTATTTTCAATATCTAATACAATGTAAATGTTATAAGTAGTTATTACACTGCATTATTTATTACACTGCAAAAGTACTCATGTTTAATACATATTTTTTCCAAATCATTTCTATCTGCAGTTGGTTGAATCCATGAATATAGAGCAATACCTATTTAAAACTTAAAATATTACCCACTCTAAAACTTGCAAAGCCATAATACTGCAAATTAAAAAATAAAATCAAAACATTGTCTAAAACCACGTGGGAAGAACCTGCATATATATTTGGCATTTATTTATCATACCCATATTCACAAATTATCTTTTATACAAACATGATACGCCATTAATGCACAGTAAAGAATTACCTCAGCACACCTGGGCAGCCTGAATCCTGTACATTTCAGAAGCCTTTAGGACTGGTCTCTAAATTATTTCTAGGCAGTAAACTATGCCACTGGAATACTTGCTTGATAACCATGTTTTAGTGAGTCAGAGGATTTGCTCATGACATACAGCTCATGCTAACAGTATGATTTATGGTGAACACCTGTTTTTGTTTGCCTGGGGCCTCAGGGAGGAACTGGAGGAGGGCTGGAGACCAAGTACCTAACTAAAGTCAGTCACCCAGGTGTTCAATGCCTATGTGACCAAACCACAATAAAACCCCTTGATGCCAAGGCTTAGGTGAGTTTTACTGATTGGCAACACCTGCCCATGTTGTCACATCAATCATTCCTGAAGAATTAAACACTGTCCTAACAACTCCACTGTGAAAAAGACAACAGAAACTTGAACAGGCCTTATGAGGTTTTTCCTTGCTGATTTTAATTTTTCATCTTTCTGCTAGAATGAAGGGTATGATGCAATAAGAATAATAATAAAGGGAATTTATTCTAACTTGAACGTTTTAGCAACTTCACTTCCAAAGAGGCAGAAACAGTACTACTATTCCAATGCAGGAATGCTTTCCAGTATGTGGGTTTCCTTTGCACTAATTAAAAGGATGAAAACGATCGCTTCTGGCCAGCAGCAGGAAAGAATTTTGCTGAATTACACAAGCTCTTTTCCTTTTCTTCAGAGAAGATTCAGTCATCTTCAGGAAGTCTATGGAATCACTAATGCCTTCTCCTTAGTCACTAACACACAGCTACGGTCGAGGCGAAAGTAACTTTTATAGGTCATCCACACTTTGGTTAATTTTTTACTTTTTAACATAGAATGAGTCAGCAGTATCTGGCCTGGCCACAGGAAACAGGTGTACAGACACTTATCTTCCAGCAGCTCGTCAAGAGACAGTCCTTTCTAGGACTGGAGAGGCCAAGTCCACTGAGCTTTACCGCAAAAAGGGGGTTAATTTCATCACCGATTAAGAAATCACCAAAGATTATATAGCATTCCATAATTTCTGATTTATCAGATCAAACATTCCAGGGGTGTGAATTGGTGACAATTATATCACCTTTTAAAGTTTCCCAATTTCTTAGCCAGCTTAGCTGTTTGCTTTCTCTCTGGAAAGCTCTTAATCGTTTTAAAATTCTATGAGAATTTAAAAAGTAAATACCTAAGATAGAATTACCTACCACTTGTATATAAGAATGAGATTTTCATTTATTTCAATGCTAAACCAGAAAAAGAACCTTATTATTATACTGGTTTCGGTTTTCAGTAAAAGTCCTGAAGTGTTCATGAAAAGCCTACAGCACAAGTGAATTATGCTAATATGAGCTCACCAAATTCAATGATTTAGGATTATCCATCCTTCCTTACAGTTTTACCAAACAAAGTGAACAACCGAAACTCACGACATTTTGCCTAGGAATGAGAGATGAGTTAGCCTATGTCTGAATATTTCTCATACACAGTCACAAGAGCTATTATCATGAAATATTTTATGAACCAAAATTTTTCAAATTCAATCTCAACATTTACTTTATGTGATCTTGGTCAATTTTCTTACCTTTTGTGTCTCAATTCCCTCTTCTGCAAAATGGGGATAATCACAATACCTGACCAGGAGGGTTGTTACAGTGACTAACAAACTGACATGAATGAAAAACTTAGAATTATACCTGGCATCTGATAAAGATTAAATAACTTATAGGTATTATCATCACCATCACCACTACAGCCACCATAACTGAATAGCACTTTCTGGATTTTACAACTTGGCTGTCTCACTGGTTTCACCCTTAAAATGGGTTTAGTAACAATGACTCTCATTTGCAAGTGTAGATATTAAATATCTGCCTAGGTGTCCTGTTCTGTTCATCACTTTTCAGAACCTGTTGATAACAGCTAAGCCAGATATTTAAATTTCAAAATTACCTCGTTCCAGATACTCAACCACTTCTGTAAGGATGAAATTTAATATACTTCAAGGCTTAAACCCCAGAAGGTGCTAGAATGAGTTAATAATCATCGTACTAAATTGTCCCCTTCTTTCATATCCCCTGGTTAGGATACATTTCTTCAAAATAGTCAATGTGTGGAGGTTGGAGTATGTCAAGGGCAGAGAGTACCTGAGAAAAGGGAGGAAAAAAGCCAAATTTAGAGAACTAAAAAAAGCAACAAAATTTGACATGAATTCAAATATATATTAACTCTTTAATGATGTAAAGCTTGGTCACAACTGCCAACCAATAAACTAAACTTAGCTGTCAAGAAGCTCAGTCCTAAACAGATATGCTTATATGTTTGTAAACTTAACATCTAAAAGATATCCAATCCAAACCAAAGTAGGAAAAACAACTGGATTATACCATGTGCTACCAAATTTCTTGTTGAGGAGGGTACTGTAAAAAAAAATCCCACTTATCTTCAACACTTAGTGTTGTTCCAAGCGTAAGAGGAGCTGTGACTATCACTCACTTCTTTGTTCCTCTTCTAAATACATGCTTACTATGTGTATCCCATCTGCCAGGTACTAGTGAAAAGCTATCAGGCTAAACTCATGAACAAAATAAATTAGTTCTGCTCTCATGACTACAAAAGAGAAACATGAAGCAAAGTTACATAAATATATAAAAATGGTATCCATTATTATGAAGAAAAAATGTAGTACTGGGGAGGAAAGCATTTTCCAAAGTATATTAAAATGTGAAAGCTGAACAATATCAAGACAATGAGGCAAATTCCAGAAACAGAAAAGCCAGGGCTCATGGAATGGAGTGGGAAGAGAGAAAAATAAATAAAGTAGAATAAAAAGGCTAGAAATAGATCACCTAAAATCTCTCGACAGCACATTATATATTTTGGATATCATTATAAGAACATGAAAAGAAGTCACTAGTTGGGGGAAGGAAGACTTAAAGGCATCTGAAGTTCAAGTTCTTTAATAAAAGGCAGCATACTACCAATGTAACTTCTACCATCAAAACTTAAGAGGCTAACTTTCCCTACCAACTGTCTAGCTATTCTTTTAAGGCTCACACACGACATCATACCCAACCTATGCTGCAAGTGAAGAACATGAAAGTTAAAGAACATGGAAAAAAACTAACAATATAAAAACTACCTGATAAAAGTTCAAACTTTTCCTTAGCTGTCATTTTTTTCTTATTTTGGAGAATTAAAAAAATTTTTACAGGAGAGTGTAAAGTAAAATTCACATAACCAATACATGGCTTTAGTTATTCACAATGTCCATTCTTCTTTCATCTATACCATATACTCTCTCATATAATTTTTTCCTGCTTTTTTTAAGAAATGTTTTTAATAATTTATTTGAGAGGTTGAGAAACAGAAACAGAAACAGAGAGACAGAAAGAGAACGCACATCCATTGGTTTATTCCCAAATGTGTATAAAAATTGGAGCAAGGAACTCAACACAGGTCTCCTGTACTTGAAGTATAATCACTACCGCCCAAGGCCTGCATTAGCAGGAAGCCGGAGTCACAGTGGGCTGACCACTTCAACATGGAACACACGTGCTTAATTGCTAGGCCAAATACCCATGTCTCTCCATGTAACTTTGACATGTATGTCAGATATTTCAGCCATATATAGTTAAATAAAGTTAAATATCTGTAGCAGATGATAAAAACTTAAGAAAATACAATTATCAAATCTAATTTAAAAATATTATTAACTATCTAGTACTCAAATTTTCAGTTTTCTTAATCAAAAATCACTTCAAGTAAGGAGTGTTAAAGATTACTACATTATTGTGATTTATCTATTTTGTTTCTTTCCCTTTTCCTCTTGAACTGACTTGTGGAAGGAACTTTACCCATCTTAATAATCATTCTTTTATTAGTCCAATACTGGCTTTCAGTTGTGAATTAGGATTTATTCTATTGAATTAAAACTTTTCTTTGGTGAAAAACTCTTCATTGACTTTTAAAAAGTCAGATATAGAGGTTCTCAAACAGTTAAATCAGGAATTTATATATATCTTATATAAATTAAAATGGTTACACTTAGAATTTTGGTTATAAACAATAAACAGATTTCCTAATTTCTCCAAATATTTTTTATCATATTAAAATAATTATTAAATTCTCATATCTTAAAAACTCCTATAATTAGTTTACCAACTCACATGAATATCTGACACTTGAGAAAGGCAGTTAGAATTAGTGTTTTACTTGACATCTTTTGGACTCTAAATTCCATCTGAACAACATACACCCTGCTTTGGGGAAAAACAGAATGCAATGAGTGACAGTGTCCATGAGCCAGAGCTACTTTACACTTCAAATCTCTCTCCTATAATTAGAGGTTATCTAGAGGAAAGTGACAACCACATATTTGGAACCTTGATGGAGAAGAATGAGGCTTTACTATTTCCTATCTGATGAGGCTGTTTTCTGTAGCAAAACTTGAAAAGACAGCACTTTTGTACGACATTTGTACTACAGCACTTAGCTGTGACTGCTAGCTTCCAAGTTATCATATTTTAAAATCTACCTGGATTTTTTTTAATGTCTGCTGGTTATCCTTGTACTCCTTCTACACTAAAACGCTTATCAGAGGATGGGATTCCAGCGTATCTAGTTGTCAAAAACAGTACTTAGCCCAGCAGAAAGGACGCAGGAATCAAAAAAGTAACTTAAATGAGAAACTGAGAACAAGGACTGTTCTGAACTCCTCACTTCATGCCTAACCCCTATTAAAAGCCAGAGTTTCTCTACAGTTACACTTTACTTAAATGAATCAACTTCTAATACATCAGCCTTTTGATTTAATAAGAACACATTTGTAAAGACTCAGACTTATAAAATAGTGTCCAAGTATCAGTAAATAAATCTCTTTTTATTTTTTGTTTATTTATTTTTTTAAAGACTTTTTAATTTTTATCAGAAAGATTTTTAGAGAATGAGTAACAGCCAGAACTGAGCCGATCTAAAGCCAGGAGCCTGGAGTTTCTTCCAGGTCTCCCGCACGGGTGCAGGGTCCCAAGGCTTTGGGCTGTCCTCAACTGCTTTTCCAGGCCACAAGCAGGGAGCTGGATGGGAAGTGGGGCAGCAGGGATTCAAACTGGCCCACCCGTGGGATTCCAGCACATGCAACGCAAGGATTTAGCTACCAGGCTATAGCACTGTGCCCAATAAATAAATCTTTTTTCTTTAAAAAAGAAGTGTTTAAAGTATTTCAAAATATTATCACTCTTCAAAGGATCTCAAAACTTCCTCTTAAGGAAGTAGACTTGACAAATTAAAGTTATATTCTTAGATGACCATCATTACCAAATAGTATCTCAGCATATCCTCAAATCTTTTAAGAATTTGACAAAAGGTCTTTATGTTAACTTTTTAGAATTTCAACCTTCATGATGTTAGAAGATTCACCATAAACTGACTAGGATGAAAAAAAAAATCTTAGTTTCAATCGGTGACAGCAGCCAAGTAGCAAATTGATATGAACCTCAATCCAAAATTTAAAGACAAGAACATGAAATGTACTTTCATGGAATATTTACTGACTTTCCTTCTCAATAGATAATAACTGTTAAAAGCAGGGAATAGATTATACTACTCATTTTTAAATAAAGCTATAATCAAATACACAAATCCTAAAATATAAGCTGGTGAGTTTTTACACTTTGAGTTAAGTCTTCAGAACATGACTTCTTTTAGTTACTGTTATACCTATAAAATTCACCCATGTTGCTCTGTGGATCGTTAGTGGTCCAATTCTCTTTACTGATGTGCAGTATGCCATTGTAAGAAAGGCATACACCATAATGAATTTGTCCAGAGTTCTACTGGCACACATTGTGTTTTTTCCTCATTTCCAGCTGTTAGGAATAAAGCAGCTATGAACACTATTTTTTGGTTGCTTAAGGTATTTGAAAGGCAAATTTTACAAAAAGGAGAGCTAGAAAGAAGGTCTTCCATCCACTGGTTCACTCCCCAAACGGTTGCAGTGTCTGGAGATGAGCTGATCTGAGGCAGGGAGCCAGGAGGTTCTTCAGGGTCTCCCATGTGGGTACAGGGTTTCAAGAACTCAGGCCATTCTCTGCTCTTTCCCAGGCTATAAGCAGCGAGCTAGATCAGAAGTGGAGCAGCTGAGATGCAAATCTGCACGTCTATGGGATGCAGTCCCAACCTTCTTACACCTATCTTCTGGTGAATTTGTGCATTCCTCTCCCTTTCCAAAAGATTTATTTATTTGAAAGGCAGAGTTACTAGAAAGACAAATAAACAGAGAATCAGAGATCTTCCATCTCCTGCTCCACTTTCTAAGTGGATGCAATGGTCTGGGCTGGACTAGGCTCAAGCAAGAAGGGTGGGACTATATATTGGTCTCCTATACTGGTGGCAGAAGCTAACTTCACACTGAAGAAGAACCTACCTCTACACTATTGGTTGCCTTTTTATACAAGAGTTAGTATTACCATTAGCTTTACTTAACAGCTAGTGATGAGTAATATATATGGCTGAACAGTATCCTGGCATTCAAAGACTACTGGTACCATCTTGGTGTAAGCCACTTTGAATCCAAAGGCCTCTTACTTGAATTAGGTCAGACTACGTAAAATGATCCTTCTTTGCTTCGTTCCACTCATCTATAGAGTACACCAGAGCTAAGATTAGCAAAGAGCAACGATACAGGACAGATTACTGAGGTTATCATTGTAGACCCTAATACATCATATTTTCCTATAATTTTTATTCACTTATATCACTCTTCAAATTGACTGCCTACTGCCTACTATTGCCTAAATAGAAGAAAAACCCCAAGACTTCCATTACAAGAATCCTAAGGCGGCAATAAAAGGGCTTTAGAGGACAAGCAAAAGACTAACGTGATCAAATATGAAGATTAAAAACAAAACGAAACAAAAGCGAGTCACTCCCTTCTATGCTGATCATCTGACAAAGACGAACGTGCAAGCACATTGGCATTAAGCAGGTTTTATGACAGGTCAGATTCTGTCTAGAAGCTAGTGACAAGTCTAAGCAACATTAATCTTTAAAAAAGTAAGTCCATTTCTGTTTCCCTGGGTTCTTGCATCGAGAACCTATCCTTTAAGACAGTGAAGCAGCTACTCAGATACGTGGACTTACATATAAA